ATTTATCTTTGGGTGATTTCTGGCATGTAAGTGAAAGCACAAATTGGGGGATCAGACACATCCCTACCATTTCCCTAGTGTGAGATAGGTTTCTTAGCTTCTCCTGACTTCTAGTTCCTCACCGGTAAATAGGAGTTCATAACAACACATGGCCCATTGCAATGAGGATGAAAAAAGCTTAGGCAGTTGCCATGAGGTTTGAGCCACAGTAATCACTCAATAAATATTGACTATGGAATGAAGGGGAAGAATAAATCGACACTGTCCATAGCTGTGATAGGCAGGCTTATTGTGCCAACCTGGACAATAGGAACATGTGGGATTAATAAAGTTGCAGTATGATCAGAGGACTAACAGATAAATGGCTCAGGCCTTGGTGCTCATTCTCTGAGCTCATTCTCTGCCTCAACTTGTGAGCTACACTACCTGTGGGAGAGCCAACCCATGGATCATGTCACTAGAGCTTGAAGTTCCTGCGAGACCTGCGTCACCATGCTGCTGGTGTCTACATCACTGGAGCTTGAGGCTGGTGGACCCTGTCTTGCATTGCTTAAGTTCGATATCCCATCCGGGCCTGCATTGCTAAGCTCCTGAGCTGCTGACTGTTGGTGATCCGCCCAGCTTTTTGCTGCATGTGGGCAGACTGCCTGCATTGCCCGTGGGAAAACTCAGTTGTCTTCTTCCTTGACCTTGGATCCAGCAGCCCTCGTAAGTTGAAGGACTTCCAGTATATTAACTGTTCCACAGAAATGAGTTGAACTGAGTGCTCTGTACTGCTGTGTGAACTAATTAGCTGTTATATTCCTTTGTGCTGATTAAATATAAATATATATATATATTACATATATATAATCATAAGTGCCCTGGTTTTGTTTCTCTAGAGAACCCTGCTTAACACAATATTCAGGGCTAGGAAGTCTGTTGTAGGGAATCAGAAGTGACCCCTGGAACAGAGATCTAGCCCCAGGTTCAGGCTCAGCCCAAATCTACCATTGGTGTTTAAGCAAATTCATTTCTCTGGGCATCAGTTTCCTCAACTATGCAGTGAGCTAGTTAGGCTACAACTTTTCTAAGACTCCTTCCAGTCTCAGCATGTAATATTTGCTACTTAATCAATTAAGCAGGTCTGGCAGTATTTACATTTAATTCCCTACTTGAACACACCCTGTGTTCCTTTTGAAAGAATAGTCTAGAATCCATCCACCTGTAGCGCCCACGCTCTCAAGATAAGGATCTAGGAACGCAGCAGATGGAACCACACATCCAGGGATGAGCGCTGAGGCTCAGGATGGCCATGCGGGCCTTCCAATCATCATCATCTGGAACGGTGTGCTTTCCAAAGACAACATGACCTGCCCCCCCAAACGAGACCCAGGGGCTCTACCTGTCCCCACTTCTTCCAGAAAATGGGTCAGGACTTTCAAAGAACGGATCCCCGAGACAACAAAAGGGAAAGTGCTCAACATTAGAAACCTCAAGCTAGAGAGTTCCCACTTGGGAGGAGAATAGGAAGGCCCCAAAAATGGCCCTCCAGCTGGATCCCAGTGTGTTCCCCAAGAAGGGGAGACACCTTCGGGGCTAAATCCCTGCCAGTGTCTCCTCATCTCAAACCCCAACGTTCAGGCTTTGGGTCTGGAGGCCTCCAATCACAGGAATGTGTATCATTTGCCTTTATTGAGCATCCACTGTGCAGGCACACTGCTAAGCATGCTCCTGGGACAAATTAACGTCATACTCACAGAGCCTTACATGAAATAAATTAGGATTATGTCTGTATTCTTAATAAAGAACTGTAAGGATTATATAACTTGTTCAAGATCATCCAGAACGTGGTGAACTGAGATTTGAACTTGTGTCTCTTTTGCGATTGAAATCTTGGCGGGCTTTAGTTCACACTACATCGAGCCTCCCTGCCATTTCTCTGACACTCATCACACGCTAAATGATGTCTGGCCTAAGTAGCCATCTTCACATTCAACCGCATCAAATGGATGAATAAGTGCACATAAACCTTAGAAAGGTAAGCATGGCTTCCATCACAAGCGCATTGGCCAGGATCCGGCATTGATCCTGATCTCCTCCAAACTCCCAAGGCCTGGAAGGAACCCCAAGTACTTTCTCTCCCCTTGTTCTCCACTGCCCCTTCCAGGCCCAGAACTCACATGGGCTTGGTGAAGAGTCCTGTCACCTTCTTGCAGCTCTTGTTGTCTCCACCACACACCCCACATTTGTCGAACTTCTTCTTGGAGCCCAGGTTCCCGTCACAGCCAGCCTTGATGCACTTGCCTTGGACACAGACAGAGGTGGAGTCCAGAGTGCATGAAGTGCCATCCACCACCTGCAGGGGCAGGGGGAAAAGGAAGAGGGTGCTCAGAGGGGAAGAGGGTCCCTCAGCCCCACCTCATCGCCTGCCTAGGTGCTCACCTTGGGAGCCAGCACGTAGAAGTAACCAGTGCCGTTGGCTCTGCAGATGAGCTTGCACTTGTCCCGGGGAGACACACCTGAGTACTTGGGCACCCAGGACACTGCCAGGGTGAGCCGATTGGTGCTGTGGTTGTAGCCATTGAAAGCCTCACACTGCTCCTCCCGAAAGCTCTTGCCAGAGGCTGTGGAAGGAAGAAGTACACACTGAGAGTCACAGGGAAGAGCCGAGGAGCAAGCAAGAGAGGACAAGGGAGAGCATCTTTTCAGGGGTCAGGTGGGAGGTGGGGGGTGGGGGGACACAGTTGTTCCAGGGCTCAAGCAGCTCGTCCTTCCTACCCTCAGCCTTGTGACCCCTCTCACAGAAGCCACAGCTGCCCCGCCCCTAAGGACTTAAGCAAGCTGGCCCCAAAAGATCAGCATATGGGCAACACCATAGTGCCCAAGTTGTGTGGCACCTTCCAGCAATCTAACCTTAAGCTCCCTTTTTAACAGGAACCCTAAACTTGGTCAGTGCTATGGACTCCTTCCACAGCATAGCAAAACCATGTGTATAATAATGTAAGTGCATAAGACAACTGAATTACATGAGATTATAAAGGATAGTCATTATATTGATGTACGAGGAGGCTTCAAAAAGTTTGTGGGAAAAATCCCATATCTTTTCATTTTTTCCCACAAATATTTTGAAGCTCTTCATACAACGATTGATATGTTTAAAGCATGTTCCTGATGCATGGACATCTTTATTGAAGCACTAAATGGAGCAAGTCTATGAGGTTGAGAGCGATTGAGATTCTGAAGCTGTAAAGAACACGGATGGTGTCTTGTGTTACTTATAATCACTGAAATATAATATGAAAATAGGCGTGATCCCTACCAGTGACAAAGTCACAGATACTGTTGCTACCACTGTGGTTAATTGCCTACATTTCCAGTTCAAGAAAATACTACAATTTAAAGTGCTTAGTAAAAAGAGAGATGTATTTCTTTTTTCCCTCGTTCAAATGCATGGGCTCCAGACTAAGAATCCTTGTTTATAAAGATGGGCTTGTCAGTACCTAAAAATAAGAGTACTGCTAAGTACTCTTGGACCATTTAGACTCCCAGTCTAAGCATCCAGAGGAGAGCTAGTCAAAGATGAACAGAGAGAGGAGTGCTTCTGAGTGGTATCTGCAATGCTGCCTTTCCAGGGTTTGTCCTACGGGATAGAATCTTGAGTGCAAACACTCGCTGGTCACATGGAGGTGGGGAATGATTTCTAGCTAGCCTTGCCTCCCCTATACCCACTCCCCTGCTATCCTGCCCTCCTCACCTGAGCTGGGGCATGGTTCCAGGTTGCAAGATCGATATTTCACCCGTACTCCCTCGCAGTACTTGCCCCCATTGGCCGGGGCTGGGTTGTTGCACTGCCGCCGGGCCAGCTGAATGCCCCCACCACAGGTCCGAGAGCAGGGGCCATAGGGCTCCCACTTGGCCCAAGAGCCGTCCACCTGTGAGAAAGGGTCTGTTAACATTTCTGCAGAGCTGCTAGGTTCCACATCAACCCCTTAGTCTATATAAAAGCTAGTATAGAAGACCAGTATATGGCTATACTGGTCTCCTCACAGCCAAATTCCTAGCTCACTGGAATAAAATCAACTTTGTATCATGAGGAGGGAAATGATGAGCCGATTATCTGTTTGTCTATAGCCCACAAGCATTGCAATTAATTTACAAATACCAGCTTCTCCTATTATCAATCAGACAGCTCAGAAGAAAGGCCTCATCAAGCTACCGAGTCAAGTTGAGAAGTTTTACAAATGGCTCTGCCTCTAACAGATAGATGATCTTGAGCAAAGAGCTAAACCTCGTACATTTCAGGTGCTTCATCTGCAAAAAAGGGAGCTAATCATATTCAGATCCAAAGTTGCTGTAGCATGTCTTGCCACAGAGCATGAAGTCAAAGTTACACACATTTATTTGTTACTGTCTTTTTAAGAATCTCTAAATGTAAGGTATGGCCAGTTCTATTCCTTCCAACAGAGAGCCCTAGTGGCACAGTGGTTATGCATTGGGCTGTAATCCTCAAGGTCATCAGTTCAAAGCCACCAACCACTCCTCAGGAGAAAGATGAGGCTCTCTACTACCATCAACAGTTACAGCATTGGAAACTCTAGGGGGAAGTTCTACTCTGTCCTAAAGGGTCACTATGAGTCGGCATCAACTCAATGGCATCAACTCCAACAAGCTATATAACCATGAAAAGAACGAGAAGATAATGGTGCAAACAAGTCAATACCAACTCCTGGTGATTACAGCCATGTGTCACAGCCTAAAAACACTCCATAGGCTCTTCTTGGCTGTGTCCTCTTTACACCTGGGTGAGTTTGTACCGCCCACCTTTGCATTATTATTCAAGCACAGACAATTTAAGTGAGCCAGAGATCTTATATCCTAACCGAGCTCACTGCCATCGAGTCAATTTGATGTCGAACTGCCCCAGTGGGTTTCGGAGACGGAAGCAGAAAACCTAGTCTTTCTCCCATGGAGTGGCCAGTGCCTTCAAAATGTGAACCCTGGCGGTGAACAGCCCCATGCACAACCCACTCGGCCACCAGCACACTGAATATTTTCATTTCTAAATGTCCTATCACTCAGTGCGTGTTTCCACAAACACGCACTTAAATAAAATGTCTTATCTTGACCTCAATCAAGGGCTGCATTTTAAAGAGTTTTACTGTAAGTGGTTCTAATGTTTGTGTTAAGAGGAGATAGAGATAATAGATTGTTTAGCAATTATAAAGCTCTATTTGGTTTGGGGATAAACTCTGCCCCATTGGGCTTCTTTGTTTCTTTTTTTTTTTTAAGAGGATAGACATTTTACAGCCCTCGTTATGTTTTTCTGAGGCTGACAGTAAAGTGAGTATTAATTAGTTCCCTGAATACACATCAGTTGAGCAATAGAGGAAGCAGCCTAGTGGCACAGGCCTGGGACGAAAACGCAGTCACAGTAATCCATGCAGTGAAGAAGCCACATGGATCTCATCGGGAACTGACTTCACATCTCACAAATACGTTCACTTGTTTATCTATTCGGCATATTTATTCTATCAGTTCTCACGTCAGATCGTGTTTGCTTCATTGTGGCATGTGGATGTTATCCTTTTAAAAATCACTTTCCCTTAACCCTGATTTCTCCTCAAAATAGAGCTCCACATCACTTGGCCCCATAGATGTAGGACCATTGGTACCTGGTTTCTGTTTGCATGGCCTCACTTCTCAATCCCTTTCAGTAGGGTTTTCTCCCCAACCTGGAAGCTGCTCCCCCGAACATCAACAGTGACTTCTATTCCCAAAGACTGAACAAGACTAGGCTTAGGCATGCTTCACTCTCTTCACTCGGTGATGTCTTCTGTATTTAACTGTCCCTGGGACTCCTGAGACAGTGTGCCTGCCCCCTCTTCCCACCCCCACCGGAGGTCACTTCTCACTCATCTACACAATAAACGTTCAATGTGCTCCTCCCAGGGGCTATTCACTCATAGAGCAATCATTTGTGTCTGCTCTGTGCCAGGTTACCATTGGAAGCAGATCCCTGCCCTCAAAGTGATTCCGTCCTAGTGGAATCCGTCAGAACCAAGCCAGCGTATGGAGCGTGTCTGGTAGCATTAAAGGCAACGAGAGACAGGAGGTGACCGTGCAGGAAGACTGCTGGGGTCAGAGCGCCCACTGTACGGGAACTGAGGAGGCATTTAAGTAGAGCCTAAAGGAAGCGGAGAAAGGGAGCCAGGCAGACCCGAGGAAAGCAGTCCCAAGCAAAGGAAGCAAGAGGAAAATTCTGAGGAGGGACAGTGCTTGAGATTGCCTGCTTCCCAGGAGTCCGAAGCAGGAGAGAGTGTATGAGAGATAGATTAGAGAGGACAGGCGGTGGGGGTGGTGAGAGTGGGGGGTCATGGCTGTCCTTGGAGAAGACTAGGCAGAGAAGCACCATGATCTCACTCACATTTCTTAAAAAGCTTTTGGAAACAGATGATGGCCATGGTAGCTCAACGTGACTGATGGGTTTGGTGTCCCTGAATTTCACAGAGGAGAAAATATTGACTTGGCAAATGTCATGTAATCTGTATTTTTTAAACAATTTAAAAAGGGAGGACGCTTGGCTGTATGTGGGGAATAGTCTGAAAGGAGTAAGATCAGAAGCAAAGGGTGATTCCAATAATCCGTGGTAGGTGGTGGTGACAGCAGACAGAGGCATGCCCCAGATACAGCAAGGGAGGTGGTGACAAACGGATTCTGGACATGTTTTGAAGAGAGCTTCAACAGAAATGGCTGATGTATCAAATATGGAGGGTGAGAGAAAAGGCATTTGATATGAACAACTGAAAAAGTTGCTGCCAGTGACCAAGTGGGGGAATACTGCAGATGAAGCAGGTTTGGGAGAGGTGACTGAAAGTTCATTTTTACAGCTGTTATTTTAAGAGCTTGTTGGACATCCATATGAAGACATCATGATAGAGTTAGACATCCAGGTCTGTGGATCAGGAAGAGGTCCATGCTGACAGTAGAGATTCGAGATTCTTCAATAGAAAGGGGTCCAAAAGTCATGAGTCTAGAGCAGGGCTGGGGACCATCCTGGCTGAGGGTATAAAAGGCCTGTGAAATCATCAATACCAGCTAAGCCCTCAAAAGAAGAGAAGCCATCCCAGCCATCAACGTAGAGGTGAGTTACTTAAGTGGTTGGCGAGGATGGTCCTCAAATGATGTCATGAAGCTCCAAATGGCCCTTGGCAGAAACAAAAAGGGTTCCCTACCCGTAGCGTACAGGAATCCCTGAAGAGATGGAGCGCGGTTCAAGAAGGCTGAGCCATGGCGCCTGGGACCGCCATCGGGAAGAGGAGAGCTGAAAGGCAGTGGGGACTAGGTGCTTCCAGGAAGGAAGCAGTCCACTGTACCAAATGCTACTGCTAGTAGGGAGGCAAAATGATTACTCGCTGAATTTAGCAAAGTATAAACTATTTGGCCATTTCATAAGAGTTATCTTGAAGGGATGATGGAAGTGAAAGTCAACGGACATGGATTCAAAAGAAAATTGGAAAAGGAGGCTGTGGAAAGAGCTGGTTCCCGCAATTCTTTCAAGGAGTTTGCTACATATTCAGCAGGGAACTTCGATGTGATCTATGAAGAGGAACTCGGGTCATCAGAATATTTAAGATATTAAAAAATTATAGCAGTTTTATTTCCTGAAAGGAATGGACTAACTCGAGAGAGGAGGAAAAAGTACAAGAGAGAAGAGAACAGACGGAGTGAGTGCTGAATAGACAAGAGAGGGGGGTTTTCCAATGCAAAGCAGGTAAGGGCAGCTCACCACGAACAGGACACAGGTAAGTGTGGTACAGATGCCTTCCAATCTAAGCCCAAGGATGCTGCAATCTTGCCCCCAAATTATCTTCCCAAAGCTGTTTCCAGTAGAGCCTCTGGTCTCCTAGCCCTTGCCTCAGATGCACCCAGAAATGTCTGACTTCCTGCCTGGTGGCCGTTTGCAGCCACCACTGAGCCCCAACTCGTGGCAACCTCACAAGAAACGCTTGGGGCGTGAGCCACCCCTATGATTGGCTGGAGATCAAATTGTTGTGATCTATAGGGTTTTTACGGGTTAATTTTCACAATTAAATCACCAGGCCATTCTTCCTTCCTTCCTTCCTACCTTTAAATAGTAACTTTATGGCAAGGTCTTTCCTTTCAGTCCAAAAACTCTGCTGAAATGTGTTCCGCATTCTAACAATGTGAAAGCCTCACAGACAGATGGCGGTGGCCGGACATGAGGTGCATGGGCCGGGCCTCAAACCTGGTCTCCCTCATGGGAAAAAGCAAGCATACTACCACTGAACTCTGGCTGCCAACAGTTGCTCCTGCTAGAATGTCCTTTCTCCAGACCTTACTGACCCCTCGAGGCGCTATTCAAATACCACCTTCTCAGCAAAGTGTTTTCCGGCTCTGTAAATCATGAATGAGTCCCTCGTTGGCACAAGAGGGGTTAACACAGCTTGACCGCTGTGACCTGAGTAAGGCTGGACTCCACCCAGAGGTGCCCTGAAAGAAAGGTCTGACCACTGACTCCCGAAAAAGTAGCCATTGAAGACCCCACAAAGCCAGTTCTCCTCCGATTCCCAGGAAGTCGCCATTCGCTGGAAATGACTTGATGGCAGGGGCAACACCCATGGTCCTAAATGACCTCTCTCCCTCTGTTCTCCCATGGCGGGTGTTCGCGCTTCCACCCTAACTCGTTCCTTGCTCTCGCCACTAGACGGTGAGCCCTGTAAGCCTGAGAGTTGTTTCCTTTTCCAGCCACCCCAGTACCAAGCGCAGTAACCTGAACATGGGAGACAATTGCCTTTGAAAGTCTACTTAAACGTAGATTCCCAGAGCACAGGAAAAGATACATTTCAAATCATTGTCCGCCATGGCCATCCCCAGCAACTGGTAAGGTATTTAGTAAATGCTCTCTCCAACCCCTTCTCCCCAATATTGCCTCTTCCCATATAAAACACGATGCCAAATCCGCCTCCGCCAGTAGGCAGGGATGTGGCAGGGGTGGCCATCCACAGAACCAAGGGACTTCTCACCATCTGGAAAAATCGCAAACCTTTTGCTACGCAAACCTAAAACCTGAAGATCGAAAGTCCTTTTGATAGAGAGCAGTAGAGGTCCTGAGTACGTAGTTGGTTGATTGCTGTTTCTATTTTTCAGGGGGAAAAGAAAAAGGGTTTGTCCAAAACGTAGCCAATAACAAACATCGGCTCTGCGTTTTGTTCTGGCGGCCAAGAGCCAGCCTATGTATCTGTCTGCCCGTAGAGCTCATCCAAAAATATCTGAAGAGGAAAGAAATGAGGGAGCGATTCTCAGTCTTGAACACTGAGCTCCAGACGCAAGGCTCTTCCACAGTGGCACCGGGTACGGAGCTCAGGGTTAAGAGACACTTGCCCTGTGTTGAAAGAGAGCTTCTCTGTGCTGTCGTCGTTAGAGAGAATCATAGTAAGGCACAGTACAGCAATCTCGGACTGGACAGGCTCCTCGCAAACCAAGGAAAGGGAGAGCTCTGAGCTCATCTGCCCTCCTCCCCACAGCATCCCCCTCCACCCCTCTGCTCACCCCCGTAGGCAGGCTCCAGCACTCACCTTGTATTTATTGATATTGTGCCGCTCGACACAGGCCCCCTTGAGACAGAACTTGCTCTCGCCACAGCTGGTGCCATCTGCCCAGGGGAAGTGGCGAGTCTGGCACACCATTTGCCCCTTGGCCTTGCCGGTGCACCACAGCTTGGTGCAGTACTGCATGTAAGGGCAGGGCTTGGAGCCAACGCCAAAGGCCAGCTCACACTGCTGCTTTAGGGAGTAGCTGGTGCCCGGCAGGTCTTCCGGCAGCGAGATAGGCTTACTGGGCTCGTCCAGGAGGCAGTCCCCTGCAGAGAGCCCAAGGCAGTCATTACTAGGGGGCAGGGAACCCAGGGGAATGAACCAAGATAAAACTGGGGCCCCTTTGAAGCGCAGTTCTTTGAGGTCATGCACGAAGTGCCGAGAGCCACAGTAGGTGACAGCAGCAGAGCCCTACAAGCTGCCCCGCCCCCTCTGCAATACCCCGCTCACCATGGCCGTTGTCCAGGAAGTCGGTGATGATGGCAGCACTGCAGGCTGACCACGGGCTGGCCCGGTCAATCTGGATGAGGGTTGGGGACATCATGTGGTTGGCTTGGAGTTTCCCAAACACCTCTTCACACACTTTCACATTGTCATGTGGCATATTGAAAACGTGGCCTGTGGGTGAGGCAAGAGGGCTCAGTAGCACAAGGACAGGGCTGAGAAGAAAATGCACAAGTTGAGGGGAGCAGGGCCCTGACTAGGAAGCCCAAGTGCAGGGTCTTTAGCCTGAACATTTCCACCATCTGTCAGTGCTTTGCAAATGTCTCAACATCATGTGTGTCCTGCCCCTTCCTTGGTTGTGGGCTTGGTGAGAACTGCAACGGGCCTCTCTTCTCCAACTTATTCTTCCCACGGGCCCTAATCCAGGAGACGGTCTTCTGGTAGAAGTGCTCTAACAAGAGCTGGGCTGGGCCGTCAGAGGAAAGAAAGCAAAGCTGTTGCTCCGGCTGATCATGGCCTAAGGAAGGATCCCGCGGGTGTCTCCCGCTCTGTGGAGAACCCAGTGAAGACCCAGAAAGACCCTGGGGAGCGCCCCTCCCGCCAGCCGCAGCCCCCTTCCAGCTCACCCAGCTCATGGGCCGTGGTGAAGGCGGATGGAAGGCCATCATCCTCAATCACAGAACAGCTTCTCTTGGGGTCGCACATGGTGCCCACGTCGGCCATGCCCAGTGTGTCACAGGTAGTGGCGCCACACAGGTCCTGCCAAGAAGTGGGGATCAGGACCAGACATCAGAGATACCAGAAGGGACCTGAGAGCGGCCATATGTCTTTACAGGAGAATCCAGCTTTGGTGTTGGAAAGCCTGAGCAGGCCAGCATCTCTCCAGCCAGGCCCTTTGCCTAAGGGCTGAGAGGCAGTCACAGAAGAAACCCGGGCATCGGGAGGAGGCCTCTGGATGAATCTCAGCACCTCACTGAGAACATTTTACCCAGAATGATCCTGTGGAAGGAAATTATCAGGCACAAATGTAAATTACAAAGTCCCTTCCTTTAGATAGAAATGGTCTTCCAAACCAAAAGTGCAGCCCCACCCGTAACTAGGCGAGGGCCTGGTGGCAGTCAGCTGAGCCAGCGTAGAAGCTGGCACTGCCCATCCAGAGTAGTGGACGGTTAGGTCCTTTGGGAGTGACTGGCTTTGGGATAGCTAAAAATTAAATTGTTTCTCAGGCAAAAGGTCAGCAGCCCAGACCTCTCTGTTCCCGACAGAGTCCCTTGGGTTGGGGCAACTGTAATAAGGACAAACCCCACCCCCACCCCATCTAGATACAGAGCAATAGCTACAGAAGGTCAAGGGCCATGGGCTCCAGGGCTGCTAAAAATACATTGTGGCCTATGCCGACACTGAAGTTTAACTTACCGCAGAAGCTTAGGCTTCTAGCAGTAAACCTTGGCAAGAAGAATTTCCAGGGTATACAAAAAGGCAGGAGGGGCTCCTGGGAGGGGTATGTCAAAGAGCATTACAGGTCCAAGGGCAGTGAATGATTTACTGAGGCTCTTCTAGCCAAAGTCTCTGTAACTTCCACCAAACAACCGTTCCCTGCATGGGTCTGAGTAAGAAGGTGGGAGAAGACACTGATAGGATTCACCTGCATGTGAATCAATGTTACTAGGACACATTGTGATTGACATCCCAGGCCTTCTGAGAAGCAGGAGGGAATTATTTCACTACCAGCAAGAGGCAGGAGTGGAGTATGTCCTCGACACTGAGATCCCTGCATAGTGAACGTCCCTGATCCGGAAGACAGCTGTGGCACCAGAGGAACTGAAGCAGAACCAGGAGCCAGAGCATGAGACAATGCGATGACGTCCCAGGCCACAGATCAAGTAAAGCTGAATGCTTTAGGGTAGAAGACTGGCTCGTGGAGTAGAGCGCCTCTCAGCACTCAATTGGAAGAGCTGGATTTGCTGACACAAGGAGGTGGAGTGGAGCTGAGTGCATGCAGGCTGATGCTTACTGGAGTGGGGTGCCTCTAGGCACTTAATTCAGAGAGCTGGGTTCACTGACCAACACAGCTTGAGCTGAATGCCTTCAGGTTTGGACATTAATCAGCAGCTTTGAAGGAATTTTGTAACATGTCCTGACTGCACATCTGAGCATCCTGAGCATTTCTCACCTGCATTGTAACGTATTGACTTCTTTATCAAACCCCTTAGTCATAAGTATGGTCTGTGAGTCCCGTGTGGCCATTGCAATGAAATACAAGAACCTAAGTGGCAAAGCAGATAATGAGTATGAGGCAGAACACAATAGGCCAGCATTGCATCTAGACCGGAGGAACCCAGGATATGGAAACAGGCTCAGATGCTAGTCCACACACACACCTCCTCTGGATCGCATGTGTTGCTGCATCTCTTCCTTTAACTGTAAACCAATTTACAGCTTACAATAAACTAGTATAGGTATTGCCTCATTTAATTCCCATAAGTGTGCTAGCGAGCAGTTTTATTATGAGAGCTACTTTTCAGAGGTGGAGACTTAAGACTGCTAGCACGAATAATCATAGCCATAAAGTATCAAGTCCTTATTCTGTGTGTGCACCTTGCACTCATTCCCATATTTATTTGATCCTTGCAACCTCCCATGGACTATTATTATCACCTTTCTCAATCAAGGGACAGGCTGCTGAGTTAACACTCAGGAGAAGGAGCTGAAGGGAGCCATGGAGTCCACATATAAACTACACACACACACACACACACACAGGAGTTGTCTCAATTATTTCTCCTTAGGATTCTGAGCATGCATGCATCTTTACACATACACGCTGCTGTGGGTAAAAGGTGGGCAGCGGGGCTGGTGCCAGCCAGGGAGCACGGGAGGAAAATGGTCAGAGTACAGAAAGTCAGCAAAACTTAATCCAAAGCACCCACAAGTTTGCCGGCTGAGCAGTCACTCCTGGCTTCACATAGTCAGGTGATGGCCACACTGCCTAATGAGTGAATAGTTATTCTGGTCATGGAAGGGCAAGTGGGATCGGATGAACCCAGAGGACCCCAGAGCCAATCATAGGTGGAGTGTGCATCCATCCATGGTCTTTGATCCTGGGGCTGTGCATCACACTTCTTCCACCCAGTGACCTCCCTGGTGCACAGGAGTGGGAAGGAACCTTAAATGCCTTTCTCTTTTCAGCACCCTTCCCACTCCAAAGGCTCCATATCCCCCGAAAGCTCTCCATCCACAGAGCTCCGAAACCTGGAAAACCACCCCTGCCATGCAGGGTACGTGACCGAGGAGCAGACTGTGGGGCACGCGGGCCGGCTTGTGAACAGAGGGAAGGAAGTCAGGGTGAGGAAGCACCATGTGAAGGTTTTTGCAGTGACAGTGAAGAAAGAGTGGGCAGTTGGGTCATATGCCTGGTGGTTGGAACATGGGAGCCCCACCAAGGTGGGCGTCACTGCAATTCTATTGCCTACAGAGGGTACGGAGAATGGGAGGGGGGGCATCACATTGCCACTAAGACACCATGTATACCCACCACTAGCAGAGAACAAGGATCAAGAAGCCTCAAATGATGGTGTTAGCCCCATCACTGGTTAGATGGGGGACTTTGGACAAGTCACTTTTTCCTGAAGGCCTCGGTTTCCTTCTCTGGGGAAGGGCTAATTTTCAACTAGAACCTTGATGAATGAGTCCCTAAAGCCTCTACCCGTCCCCAATCCAGGAAGCTCACTATTTCTGGTCCTCTAGATTATTAAGGAAACACGCAGAACAATGTAGCTGCAGAGTGGAAATAACTCCGAAGTACATCTACTGGCCCACCTCTGTAGTAGACAAGAGGAGCTCATAGAAATGAGAGGTCATGCTCCCTGGGTCTCCCATGTGGATGATGTGCCCTGAGCTCACTCTGTCCCAGCAGGGACACCTTCACCAGGCAGACAGAGTGCAGAGTGGGACCGAAGGGTCCACTGCACTTCAGCTGCCCCTTAGCTCTGCTCCACAGCTGTGAAATCTTTAAAGCCAAAGCCACCTTCTTCCACAACAGGTGATTCTCTCCAACAAAGACATGCAGCTGCAGGCCCTTCCTGGCCAAGAGCAGCCTGTTCTTTCCATCAAGAAATCCTAGTTTCCCTGGATCAAACAAGTGGAACAAGGACCAAGCCGGCAAACTTCCTGAGGGTGAGGGTGTAGCTGCAAGCTGTGTCCTGCTAACCAGTGTCTTCATGGTGGGATGATGCAGCTGCTTTTGGGTCAGAGGTTCGGCCTGACCTTCTTCCCCACAAGGGATCACGTGAAAAATCTCTAGGCCTCGGTCCTGCCAATGCCTCCGGCGTCCTGCCAATGCCTCCGGCGTCCTGCCAATGTCTCTGGCAGTCCTGCATGGTCCGGGGGATACCCAGCACAGAGGCCTCATTGGTGGCATTGTAGGCACCCACCCTTTTGGAATGAACTCAGATGCACTCAGTTTGCTTTGAGCTCTTCCTGCTCGGGCACTGGTCAACAGGAAGAAAACTATCGCTGTTCCTTCCGACTGGAGGGTAGATGCATTTCTCTGCTCCTAGCTGCCTCATGACTTCTATTTGCCACTTCTCTCTGGAACTGCAGCTGCTTTTCCAGGGGCCCAGGGATCATTCAGGGCAAGAACCTAATTCCCTTGGACTTTCCTTTTCTACGTTTTCCTTCCCATAAAACACTTTAGGGTTGGAGTCACCTTGACAAAAAATCAATGCGTAAGGACTACCACTTTGCAATGGCTGGTCCCTGTTTACCAGTGCAACTGCCCACGTCACCCATTCGAACGTAGCCTCCACCTTCCCGGCTAAGAGCTGGTCTCCCCGATCTCCTTCCCCCTCTTCTCCTTTTCCATGACATGCTCTTGGATGTTTAGCATTTGCTAGCATTGTGGAGAAAGAGAACCACTTAAAGCCCAAGCACACACAAAAAAGGTTTTCCATTGAATTGGCATAAAAAGAAAAAGAAAAGTGGCAGAAGATAGCCAGATTCTTCAGAAAGTTGGTGGGGAAAATGAATTAAAAAAGTGGAATTTTTCCGTAAACTTTTTGAAATCTCTTCATATATACATTTTCATGTCATCTGCATCCCATTACATACATGTCCTAGGCATGAGATCCAGTGTTAGTTGTCAGAGCCATGACATCACAGTGGGGAGCTCCTGGGTGATATAAACAATGACGTGCTTGGCTGTGGACCCAAAGGTCGGAGGTTCAAGTGCTTCAGAAGAAAGACCTGGCTGTCTACTTCCTAAATTTCAGCCATTGGAAACTCCATACAGCAGACTTCTACTCTACACCTACGGAGTCACTATGAGTCAGAATTGATTGAATGGCCACTGGCTTTATCATGGCATAATAAGGGTTAAGATCTCGTTACGCAGATGAGAAAACTGAAGCTTCGGGAGTGGAAGTTATTCACTCGGCTGTACAATGAACAGTTGGTGGCTGAATCCAGGCCCTTTGACCCCAAAACCAATAGTGTTCCTTTTTTCACATCACACTGCGTTTGTCGGGACATCAGTATTACAGGTGAAACCACCTGCGCTGTATTCAGTACCATCCTTTTCATTTGCTGCCCATCAGAATCTCTGCCGTGCACTGCTGCATTCTCGGCCAGCCCAGGTCTGCTCTTGCTCGTCATCTCCATGGGGGGGGGGGGCGCGGGAGCCAGGGGGGTGCCTTGCTAGGGAAAAAAAATCTAGCGATTTGGCCCTGGGAAATATTACTAAGATTGCCTGGTGAAGGAGG